GGGATGGTAGCTCAAGAAGGGCCCCAGACTCCGGGAGGGACATAGGCTGTTGCTGCTGACCTGTCCAGGGGACACATTCTCAGGGACCCCCTCAAGCACAGAGATGTTGCCACTCTCGACATCCAGCACGCAGAGCACAGGGATGCTTTTGGAAACCATGTTTTCTCCCCAGTCTTCGTAAAACACAAACTGATCCCCCTGAGAACACAAGATACTCAATGCCCAGCCTGTCTATAGGACCTGCTCTGCTTCCTAGAAGCTAGTGCCTCCCCAGGTCTGACAAGCACAGTGTGGGAAGGGAGCACACTGAGCCCCAGGGCTGCCCTGCTGGGCCTTCGTGGATTGACCACGAGCACCTTGATGGGTTGGTCTGGCTTCTTCAGCCTGGCTATCTCATCATCGCTGGCACTGACGTCCAAGGCTTTGGTCTGAAAGAAGGACTCGGCCTTGGGGCGCTTCCTCTCTGCCACATACAACAAGTGTGTCTCCGAGTGCGACCAGGACAGGCAGCCAAAACAGTCTGGGTGCAGGGAGGGCCAATCAGGGGGGGACCCAGGGCTACGGCTACCCCTCCTGTCCACCCTGCCTGCTCACCAGCCAGATGCCTCACCATCCTCATAAACAGGCCCATGTTTCTCCAGCGCTGATAGGTTGAAGCTCTTGAGCTTCCGGTTCTTCTCCCAGACCTGAGGACATCTGGGCATTAGGCCGTTTGCCCGCTAACAGAGCCTTATCTGTGGGGCAGAGCCTCTCTCTAGTCACCCACTACCTGGTCCCATGTAGACTCACCTCCAGGAACTGCTTCTCTTCCCCAGGGCCTGTGCCTCCAGCCTTGCGCAGCACAGCTTTCATGCTGCCTGAAGGAGACTCTCTGCTCAGCAGTCTGTGGACATGGGGTAGCACAGGTCAGGAGTATCTTGCAATAACCCCTTCCTGCTCCCTTACTGGGCACCACCTCTTAGGAGAGATTCCTGAGGCTCTGGCCCCACACCAGCTTCTGGAGCACCTTGGCTTTCCTCCCTGAGGCAGAGACTCTACTCTCCCCAGCTCCCCAGGCCACCACAGGCTCTAGTCCAGGTGAGTCTGGAGCAAGCCTCCGGTGCTTATCAGGCCATGTCACCAGAAACTGAATGAGCTCCCAAGGGGGCAAGAATCTGGCTCCTGGCCTCCCTTCTAGGCACATGGTGGGCATTCACAAAAGACTTGCATTGCAGATGCTGTGGCCTTGCTCACAAGATTCCTTCCTCAAACTTACTCCCCCCGGGTCTCCACACTGTTGCCTGCAGGTCCGGCAAACACCACTGAGTCCCCGTCATGGAACACCAGGTATTGGCGGCAGAATCGAATGTTCTCCATGCGTTCCAGGTCCCTCTGGGTCCACTCTGTGAGGGGAGGCATGAGGCTGCTCACCTTGTCTTGGCTACTCCTGGCTACTGCCCCCAGCCCCACCTGACCCAGGAAGGCCTAGATCTTCCTCAGTCTCTCAATCTGTCTCCAGACACTGACACCCTGGCTGCGGGCTGGACAACACTTGTCCACAACCCTAGTCCAGGCCTCCAGAGCCTGAGCTGACAGCCTCTTTGAGAGAACCCCCTAGTAACCCCAGCACCCACCCTGGAATCTTGAGGGCAGCCTGGCATGTGTATGGAATGGAGTGTTGGCAGAGAGCCCTACAAGGTCCACGCCCTGAGCCCAGGTTTGAATTCTACCCCTACACCATCATCTCGTGCACTCATGGGCACCATCCGATAACGTCCCGCACGCCCCCGCCTCCCCACACACCTGTGTGCAGGGACCTGTGGGAGTGTATCCTCCAAGTCCAGGCCGGCTCCACATACACCTTTACACACTGTCAAGCAGCAAGCCCTCCACACCCGCTTCCTTCCCACCCCAGTGCGCGACCCCGTCGCCAGCCAGTTCCCCTTCGCACACACACCAGTGTGCACCGTCCGGTACTGGCCGCCGTACTGCGTGGTGACCTCCGGGCCCAGGCAGGCGGCGCTCAGCGCGGGCTGGCGGCTAAGACCCCGATACAGAGCCGCCGCCTCCTCGGGCTCGCTCAGCAGCACCTGCGCAGGGGACACACCAGGGTCAGGCCCGGCCCGGGCTGCAGGGACCACGGGGACCGCGGGCCGAGCCCTCACCTGACGTTCCATAGTCTCCTCTCTGCCGCCCGGGCGAGGCGGGGCGGGGGGTTGCTCGCGCCCGGAAGTGAGGCTTCCGGGGGCGGAGCCTGGGACCGCCCGGGCTGTCTCCGCCCCTGCCCTGCGGCAATCTGGGAGGGGGCGCTTTCGGCGAATAGGCGAGAACCGTTGGCAAGGGGCGGGCCTTGACGGTGAGAGGACCCGGCCTGGCAGCGAGAAGTCCTGGGTGGAGAGAGCAGGGGCGTCGAGAGGAGGAGCTGGCCTTCCAGGAGCGGACTAGTCAAGTGGGGGGCGGGGCCGTGGGCCGAGTCCCGGGCCTCTTACCGAGGGGCGAGGCGTTGGATCTCGGAGGAGAGAGGGCGGCCCTGTGGAAGCGGAACCCGGGAGCCGGGCTTCGGGGAGGGTAGAAGGGCCTACGAGAGAAGCGGGTGAGACGGGGCTACGAGGCGGAAGCAGCGCGGTCGGACGGGCATGGCCCGAGCACCTGAAGGGCGAGGCCTGAGGGGAATGGGACCAATGAGTCTCTGAGGATGAAGGGCGAGGCGGGCGGGTCCAGAGTGGAGCCCCGCGAGGAATGAGGAGCCGGGAGCCCGTGAGGGTGAGGGCGGGGAGGGGGGAGCCAGCCGCATCGTGGATCTCCCGCGGCTCTGGGGCTGACTGTAGGGTTCCTTCGGGTCCACTACGAGCCGACATTCACTAGACAGTGCCAGGCCCTGCCCTGGAGGGACTCCCAGGCAGACGAAGAAGAGAAAGGCCAGAGTCCGGGCGGAGGGCGCAAAGCAAAGCCCTGGGGTGCGGGGCAGAGGGGCGAGTGCCAACTCTCAGGGTGCTGCCTGGGCTTATCAGTCACCAGGCCTGCCGCAAGAGCTATCTATCCCCGCAGCCTTTTCCCACCCTTCTCAGTGGCTCCTTGTTGGGGACTGTGAGCCAGTAGGTTCCTTCCCCTTCTCCCCAGGCCTCAACCTGAGCTCTTGGGTGTGGGGACCCTGGTGGGCTCAGACTCCACCAAGGTCCAGGGAGCTTCCTGTGGAAAGAACCTAGGCAGGCAGGCTTCCTGTGCACGTGGCACAGGATTGGCTGGGCTAAGGTGCCACCAGAGATCAGGAGAGGCTGGACAGTAAGGATGTCCCCTCCATATACCTGAGTCTGGCTGGTCTTCCACATTCAGGGCCCTGGCTCCCTGCTCCATGGTGTGCTTGTGATTGAGAGTCCACCTGTCTGGCCTGCAGCTTCCCCTTTCCCATCAGCCGCATCATTACTTAAGATTACTAGTTAAAAAAAAAAGAGTCCTGGCCGGCCGGGCGCGCTGGCTCACGCCTGTAATCCCAGCACTTTGGAAGGCCAAGGCGGGCGGATCACGAGGTCAGGAGATCGAAATCATCCTGGCTAACATGGTGAAACCCCGTCTCTACTAAAAATACAAAAAATTAGCTGGGTGTGGTGGCAGGCGCCTGTAGTCCCAGCTACTTGGGAGCCTGAGGCAGGAGAATGGCGTGAACCTAGGAGGCGGAGCTTGCAGTGAGCCGAGAATCGTGCCACTGCACTCCAGCCTGGGTGACAGAGTGAGACTCTGTCTCCAAAAAAAAAAAAAAGTTCCGGCCGGGCGCGGTGGCTCACGCCTATAATTCCAGCACTTTGGGGGGCCGAGGCGCGTGGATCACCTGAGGCCAAGGAGTTCAAGACCAGCCTGGCCAACACGGTGAAACCCTGTCTCTACTAAAAATACAAAAATTAGTGGAGTGTGGTGGCATGCGCCTGTGATCCCAGCTACTTGGGAGGCTGAGGCAGGAGAATCTCTTGAACCTGGGAGGTGGAGGTTGCAGTGAGCCGAGATTGTGCCATTGCACTCTAGCCTGGGCAACAAGAGTGAAACTCTGTCTCAAGGAAAAAAAAAAAAGAGTACCAACTTTCTGACGCCACTGCATTTGTGAGTATGTACAGGCCTGTATCAAGGCCAGAAACAGGAGTAGAACGAGTGGCCCCAGCCACCAGTTTGGGTGGAAAGATTGGAAACTAGGCTGTTCATCAAGCATTGTTTATGATAGGAACACTGGGAACATAGCACCTGTTCCTCAGGTTGTGTGTGGTAGACTGGCTACGAACTCATGTATCTCTCTGGAGGTTGAGCACTGGAAGACGAACATTTAAGTACCTGAAATAAACATGTGGAAACAAACAGAAAGCTAGAAAACAGGATATATTGCACCTTCTGGCTAGAAAACAGGATATATTGCACCTTCTGGCTTCTGTTTAAAATGAAGACTGGAACAACAAACAGGAAAGAAGGACATGCATCAAGATGTTAACTCTGGGGAGAGGGCCAGAGGTGGAGCTGGGATTCTTGTTTATCTGTGTTAAAAAAAAAAAAAAAAAAAAACTTAACAACTCTGGGTGACTTTGGTAAGGAGGTACTCCTGACCATCTGAGGAAGGCCTAAGGTCTGGCAGCCAGCAAGAGTTTGGGGGTCGGAAAAATCAGAGAAAGGCAGAGAAGTGTAGGGCTTGTTGGCAGCACCAGGGGGCAGCATTTGTTCACTGCCTCTGTGGAACCACAGGAACACACAGAAAGCTGTGTGTGCAGCCAACACACCTAAAGGCCATGGAGGTGCTGTCCCTTAACAGCCTGGGCACTGACTGCCTGCTCCAGGTCCAAGCTTGGGACCTCCCCTTGGGCACCTTTGTGGAGGGCCCATTGTCTTTGGATGGCTTGGTGTGGACTCAGCCCCGTGCTGTGCCAGCACTTCTGCAACTTTGTCCATCCTTTTCCCTTTAACCATGGACAGGATTGTCGCAAATTTGGGGATTTGCTCCTTCAGCTAAGCCTTCCCACTTGAGAAAGCATTCCAGAAACAGTCTGTAGATTGTTTATGTCAAGTCCTTTTATTCTGATACCACAGAATTACCTTGTCACAATACAGGGGGAGGGACACTGAAGTACCACGAGTTCTCACAGAGCACAGGAGGACAGCACACAATTCACAAGGTCATGTGGAGGACTCGGGTCATTGCACTTACAACTGTAAACTTGTTTGTTTGACTTTGTACAGCACTCTTCCCCCCTCAAATAAAGGAGAGAAGGAAAGAAAGGGAGAGAGGGAGGAGGAAGGGGAAAGCAAAAACAAGACATGAAAGCTAGAGGAAAAGGTATTGAGTGGCCACCACTCTCCAGGGTAGTGCATTTGGAGAAAAGGAGCTGATTTCACCCCGGAAACTGAATGAGGCAGAAACATACACACACACACACACACACACACACACACACACACACACGTCATGTGCATATACACACAATATCTCACAACTTCCATGGCTCTCCAGTGCCACCCCAGTGCACATGGCAGCAGGGCTGCTGGCACCCAGGGAGACAGAGATGGCATCTCCGAGGAGTTTCAGTTGATTAGGCCTGTCCCTCTGACCCTGTTGGAGTCCATGATGACAAGTATTTACAGCACGGGGGTGGGTAACAGGAGAGGGGAGGGGCCAACAGGGCCAGACCATGCTGTCATGGCAAAGGACCTGCCTGGAAAACTCCCTACAGGCTCCAGAAGACAAGGCATAGTTGCCACCACTGCTGTTCTTTCACTGTGGGCCCTGAGACCACATGCTCTGCCCAAGGACTAAAAGGATGATGGTAGGGGGAGATCTGTCACTGTGAAGTGAGTGCACTGGGCCCTGAAGTGGGCAGAGAGAGGAGGCAATGCCCTTGCTCATGATGCTGGGGAGAGGGGTATGGAGAAGGCCTGGGCTGCATGCTAGAGACTCCTTGCCCATTTGGAGATGTGTCTGTTGCTCTCTACTTTCCAAGGCACCGAATGCTGGTCCCTCAGCTTCTGGCTGCATTGTCCCCAGAGTCACAACTGCATCCATGCAAGGGCCAGGAAGGACAGTCCATGGACCAGAGGCCTGCTCCAGCCACCTTCACAGAGGGGCGATGATGTATCCTGTGGGTACAGTGAGGGATGAGGAGTGGCAGATGTCAGAATTTCCAACTCAGAGGGCTTTGCCAGTAAGGAAATTTGCTGAAAAGTCAGTACTTTAGAGCGTTGAGACTGGGCCTGCTGGAGGCTGACCTCCTAACATTTCCCTGCCTGTTCCCTGCTTCTTGTCCCATCCCCTGGCCTGTAATGGAAAGGACTATTGCCTTGGTCTCCAAGGCACATCCCCACACAGACCTGGTCCTGGGTGGCCAGAGGTGTTAGATGATGGCTTCCCTCAGCCCTTGCTCAGATGGCTGCATTCAGTCCATACCTGATCTCTGGGATGAGGCAGGTATTCCATGGGTTGGGTGAGGTCAAGTTCCAGAAAGGCAAGGTTGTTAAGTCCAACACAAAGGTTGGCAGCTTCCTGTCCCATCCATAGCTACCAGAGGTGAGTGAGGAGCCCTCTCTGAAGGGATGTGTAGACCTTATAGAAAAGCATGAGAAATGCGGACCCCTGAGAAATGCATCGTGCAAACCAGAGCACTCTGGATGAAGGTCAGGCCTTGAAGGGCCAGGCAGCTACTGCCTGTCACACTCCTGGCTCAGTGGTAAAAAAAAGCTGATGAGCAGCGGGACGCTTGGGCTTTGGAGAAGGGGGTGGGCAGGGAGCATAGATCTTGGGGACAGATGCAGAGAGGGTCACACAGGACCTTCTGTAAGATTTGCTATTGAGAAACTTCACAAGAAACTTAGCTTGAAGCCATTGTTTATATGAACAGTTGCAGATGACCATTGTCAACTGTTCTCACCACAAGTGCCAAAGGCCCAGCTCTTCCTGAGCATCCTTTGACCCCCTAGCTCCAGCCCAGATCTCCTGCCTTACAGTCCTTTGAGCCTCCTAGCCACAGAGGAGAGGCATGAAACAGGTGCAATCTAGAGCTGGGGTCCCTCAGGCACAGCCTGGCTCTACTCTTGCCTCTGCCTCTCTGGCCATGGATGCTGCCCAGCTCTGCCCTTGTGTAGTGCCCTCTGGGAAAGGGCTGTCAGATGCCTCTGGCTCAGGGTTGGGGTAGGAAGGGAAAAATGACAGACAGACAGAAATCCTACAGCAAACCTTCAGAATGTCCATACACACACATCCTGTGCAGGCTCCTACCATTGAGTCTGCTCTGGGGACTCCTTTTTACCTGCTATCCTGGACAGAGAAAACTGCAGGGTATGTGGGGGCCTTGTACTGCCTGCCCTGCAGCCTGGCACGCTCAGGCAACAATTCTGGCAGGTCCTCACTAGCTTGTGCAGAAGTCAACTAGAAGTGCTCCTGAAGGAGAGGTTCTGAGGCAAAAAGAACTCCAAGCAAGAGGGTCGAGCATTTAAAATGGATGAAATCGTGCAAAGAGGCTGCGAGCTGTGCATGCTCCACTGCGGGACAGGCGGTGACTCACCTGGCAGCAGCGAGTCCTGCCACAGGTCAAACATGCCACAGACTGAGAATTTCACACACACAATGGGAGCAGGGGTGGGTAGGGGGGTGGGGGTGATATGAGCTTATCTATCCAGTTTCTCAATTGCGTGTTTGCAATTAACTCCTTATACATAACATGGAATTTATTAAATATTAACAGTTGTCATTGAGGGTTTATATTTCATTGCATAGAACGTTAGAGATGAGACTTGTGGCTGTGCCCCAGATGAAAGGAGGCCCCCAAGGGAAGGGCCTTGGGGAGGAATGCCGCCCAGTCCACCAGATGGATAGAGAGTGCCACATTCCCCCGTACAGGGCTCTGGGCCTTTCCCTTGGCTGGCAGAAGTCCTGGCCCCTCTGCTCTGAGTACACCCACTGGTGATGGCTTAAGAAGGACTGGAATTGCACAGTAAACAGAGGCAGGCTGGGGGGCCTCCCTAGACCTCGCCCTGGGGTTGTGCTCTTGGTGGCCTGCTGCCCCCTATTGCTTCTAAGTCAGCATTCTCCCTGTGCTGAGCAGGGGCAGAGCAGAGAGGAAACCGAACCATCAGTCACAAGGTGGTGTTGGAGGGGGAGAGGCAAGGGAGTGAGCCAAGAGAAGAGAGAAAGGGGAAGAGAGAAACAAAAGAAAAATGTTTATGAGGTATACACGTAAATCAAACTGGAATGATTAAGGCTGTTCTTGAAATCAAAAGAAATCCCCAGGTGTACGGATGAGGAGCCGGCTGGTTGAGACAATGGTGGTGCCGCTGGGATGCTCACGATGGCTAGGGGGATGGCTTTGAAATGGTGGCAGTGTGCTAGCACGCTGCCACCCACGGGCTGGGAGAAGCCTCAGCCGGCGCCCATGCTGCTTTTCGGTGCTATGGCCTCTTATTTCAGCGATGAGACAGTGTTAGGTCCTAATGTTTGTAAAGTTCTCCCAACCCCATGCTGGCCACATGGAGGTCTGCTCCGATGTCACCCAGAGGGCAGGTGACAGGGGCAGGGCCCTGTGCCACAGAGGGATCCGGGCCAGCTGGAATGTGAAGGAAACGGAGCTGGGGGGCCCCAGCCCTCAGTCAAAGCCCCGCTCCAAGGCTGTGGAAAAACTTCTGGCATCTCGGAGGGAGGGCAGTGTGTGCCCAAACTCTGTGTATAACGCATTGGAAGCCTGGCCGGCCAAGCCGCAAAAAGGCGGCTGTGGGAAGTACGGCAAGACAACGTGGTGGCAGGGTTTCTAGAGAGGGTCCTCCCTCCCAACGAGAGCTGTGCCTTGAAGGTGGTGCCCTGCAGAGAGCAGCATCTCTGGAAAGACAATTAAAGGTCCCCCGGCCAATGGTCCAACTTGTCCAGTAGATGCTTCACCCAGGCAGCTGCTGTGAGAAAACATCACGTCCTCAACTGAGGCCTGCCTGCCATGTCCCACCTGGTGAGTCTTTGGGCCAAGGGTGTGCCAGATTGTAGATGCTTGAAAGAGAAAAGGAGGGAGGGAGGAAGGAAAGAAGAAAAGAAAGGATTCTGTCAAGAACTGTAGATAGCTGCTTCTCACCCTCACATTTCTCTCAGCCATCTGCCTGTGCCAGTGGCCACCTCCTCACCCATGAGGTGCCATGCCACTTAGGCTTGGGGAAATGGGTGCTTGGGCAGGTTGGAGGTCACAGAGAGGACAGCAAGAAAGAAGAATCAGGTCAGCCAGGAAGGGACACTTCTTTTAATGTAACAAAAGTTCCTTTTTTTTTTTTGCCTTAAGAGTGATGGAGATGGGATTTGGTTTGAAATGGCAAACCTCTCCAAGCCCATCTCTGAAATTGTCATAAAGAACTTCAGGAGAGGGATACTCACGGCAGCACTGTCCACTTGACCCAATCATTAGCCGAATGCTAGAATTTGAGGGAGATTTCTTTAACTATAAGGTGAGTGGTCTCAGTGGCCCACCCACACCATGTGGCAGGACGCAGAACAAAGCTGTGTCTGTGCTTCCTTTCCCTGTTCAGGAACCATACCCTGGCCCCAAACCCAAGGTAGGTACTGCCATGAATCCAGGCCATGGGCTGTCCCTCCTTCCCCTCCTCTTAGCACCACTTGTGATTTCACATCTGTTCCAGGGCAACTCCAAGGAAACATCGGCTGAGTGGAAAGCTGCAGGAAGCCCGCTGTGGGAGGGTGAAGGCAGGAAGAACGCTGAGGACTGCATTATGGCTACTGTAATTAGAATAAATTCCAGGCTCCTTACTTGGCCTGTACAACCCATCTCAGCTGGCTGCCACCCCCTTGCACCTCTCCACTGTACTGTGGCCCAGGCTGTGCTGGCCTTTTCCCTGTCCCTTGTGCCCCCCCGTGCCATCCCAGCATCCGACCATCCATCAGTGCTGTTCCCTCCCCTTTTTTCATCCCACAGCAGCCGTCCTCCTCCCTCAAGCTTCCCTCACATATCTTCACATATCTGCACTTTGACTAGAGCAGACCCCACTGCTTCCATAGCTCTGCCTTGCTTATCCCTTGCTAACACTTATCCCTTTCAGAAAGTACCTTTTTAATTGAATTTTATTTTTAAACTTATTTATTCTCTATCTTCTTCAATGGATTGTCAGCTTCAGAGGGCAGGGACTTGGTTTTGTTCTCTGCCATATCCCCAGAGCCTGGAAGAGTGCCTGGCACATACCTGGGGCTTGACAAACATTTGTTGAATAAATGGATGGATGCCTGGGCCTTTCCAGAGCCCCACTGCTTTTCCAGAGAGAGGTAGCCTGTGAGGCATCACACCTAGCTCCTTCCCTCCCACAACCAGTGCTGCTCTGGGCCCAGCATCTGCTGGCCCCAGGGCTCCCTTGAAGTGACCTGCTCATTGACGGCCAGGCCTCGCCATGGATAACACATATATGCCTGTGCACTGTGAGAAGCATCCTGAAGGGGCAAGGAGGGAGAAGAGGAGGGCCCGAGGGCTATGGGATGGTGGTCAGTGGTCCTGGCTGTGCACAGAGCTGTACCAACAGCCAGGCAATTCTCCTCCCACCCAGGATGATGCACTTCCTCCTCCTCCCACAGAGGCAGGGTCAAGGCCAGGGCCAGGGCAGGCTCCAGGAAGTGGTGTCCCATCCTGCCTTGGCCACTGCAGCCCAGACAGGGCCAGGGCTCCCATCCTGAGGCCCTTCTGCTCTCTCCCTGAGCTGACTTAGTCTGAGGCTGAGACTTCCTTTCCTCTATGTCCCTTCCTGTCTGCCTCTCTACCCCTTCCACTCTTCTATCCTGTGGGCCACAAGCTTAGCCTGTGAAGCCAGGAGTGTTTTGACTTCATTCTCAGAGCTGCAGATGCAGCTCTGCAGGGTTTGGGGACTCTAATCTCTTCCAAGTGGCTGGAGCAAAGGCACCAGCAGCAGACATCAGGGAAGAAGCATGTTCCCCTACAGGTGCCACAGACCACCATGTCCTTCAGGATGACTTTGAACTCAGTGCTCAGCACATAGACTTCAAGTTGTGGGGTGCAGTTGGCCGTGCTGGGCTCTTCTCCAAGGGTGCCACCTGACTTATCCGGCAACATCTCAGGCAGCTCTGTGGCCCCTGCCTCTGCGGGGTGGAGGGCTGCTGGGCCCATGACAGTTGAAGGAAACCCACCAGGCTCTTCCCAGTTCACACTTGTCAGAACTGGCTAGCTGTCATCAGCTAGGCCTTGGGCCTTCACCCCTCCTCTGGCCCATCTCACCCTAATCCTGACACTCACTGTTATACGCAGAGTCCAGAGCTGCGCCCAGACCTCTGACTCCAGAGATTTTTCCACAGCAATGATACCTCTCTTCATTTCTTCAAGAGCCTGTGGAGCATTTACAGAGGAGGGCTGGAGAGGAGCTGCATCCCTGGAGGCCTACCTGCAACCCAGTGCCAGCCCAGTGCTGTGACAGCCCTGCAGGGGATAGCAGATGGTTTGAAAGACAAGGGGGCATTGGCCCTGGCTTTGGCCCCTCCTTTGATGGGGACTCCTACTGTGTTGGCCCCATGGTAGGGGCTCTGTGCACAGTGTCCCTCCTTCTTCTCCTCCCACATTCAGAGAAGGGAACATTGCAGCTCTGGGCACTGAACCAGCCGAAGACCAGACTCCTCCCAGAAGACCCCTTGGGACTTAGAGCCCCACCCCCACCCCCAGTTCCTCGGGCCTTTCCCAGAAGAGGCAAGGTACAGGCTGCTTGTACTCACCATGCTGGGCATGGTCACCAGAATGAGGAAAATTTTTTGCCAAAAGCAGAGACAGCTGTGACATAGAAAGAGGAGATAGCCATCAGGAAATTGGGCCAGACCCCTCCCAGTCAGGCCCACTTGGCACAGTGAAGCCAAGCTCAGCCCAAGGGGCAGGGACTGCCTGGAGAACAACTGGGCATCAGCAGGTGGGCCCTCTGGCTGGCTTCTGCCTGGGTGACTGAGTCTGGAATCATCTCACAGACCCAGCCTATACCACAGCAGCCACCCACCACAGACCCAGTTACAGGCAGTGCATACCTTCCGTCAGTTTGCCAGCTTGCTCTGCTGCCCCGCCAGGGAGGATCTTGGAAAACACGCTCTCCCCATCGGCACCTGGCTGGCTGGTGGGAGCCCCTGGGGTTCCTCCAGGCCTGGCTCCAGCCTTCACACCTAGGAGGAAAGAAATCACCATAATGAGCTATGCATGGCCTGGCTCTTTAGGGTCTGAGAGGGCAAGTAGCCACAAGGGAATCCAAACACAGGTACCCCATGAGGTGGGAAGGTGAGAAGGAGGCTAGGGGAATAAGGAGAAGAAGGTAAGAACAGGAAGACAAGGGGTGGGAGGAGGCAGAAAAAAGGAGGTTGAGGAAGGCAAAGAAGAAGAAAGGGAAGAAAAGGCAGAGGAGAGGAGGAAAGGGGAAGGAAGGAGGGAGCAAGAAGCCATGGTCCCCACCCTATGCTCACCAGTGCCTTCCAGCTTCTCTGCCCAGAGCTGCTTGGGCCCTAAAGCCCCTGTGCTGGTGACCTCATTGGCTTATTCTAACCCCAGGCTTGTTTTCTGCTGGGGCAGTCTACAGCCCGTGGGGTACCTTCTCAGGGATTATTGAGGATATGCAGTGTGAGGTGCATATACCACCCAGGGCACAGGTGGTATAGAGAGAGAACAGCCTGGGTGCTCTGGGCCATAGCCGAGGGTGCCAAAGGATAGGCTCACCTGCAGGTCCAGGTCCTGGCGTTGGCTGGGCCTGAGGACCCCTCCCCTGTTGCGGTGCTTTGGCTGTCCCTTTAGAGCCATTTGTCTGTTCTGCCCGTGGCTGCAACACAGAACCTATAGCTAAGATTCTGCCCCTGCCCAGCCTGGAACCAAAGGGATGTCCAAGCTTCATTCATAACATCTGCCCTGGTTACAACCCATACATGGGAGCTCTGCTTACCGGTCCTGCTGGTTGAGGGCCTGTGGCTGTGGTGGGGCCTGGCTGAGGCTTCCCTGCAGGCTGGCTGGCAGCAGGGGCTGAGCCCCGGGCGGTTGGCTGGCTCTGTTGCTGCAGCCGAGCCTGCGTCGGAGCCTGTTGTGGGGGCTGCAGCCCAAGACCTTGCTGTTGCTGCTGCTGCTGCTGCTGCTGCTGTGGCTGTGGCTGGCGCGATGCTGCCCCAGAGGGCATTTGCCTGGATGATGGTGACTGTGACTGTTGTGGTCCTGGAGCTGCCTGCCGACCTTGCAACTGTGGCTGTGCCTGGGGTTCTGCTTTTGACTGCAGTGCAGCGGGCCCGGGGTGGGCTTGCCGGGAGCCCTTCTTGCTGTCAGAGGCATGATGGTATGCGGATGGAGCACGGGATGGCTGTGAGTACTCAGCAGAGCTGGGGTACCCAGGCTGACCCTTCTTCGGCATAGCTGGAGCAGAGCTGGGCTGAGAGTGGGGCCGGGCCTCATGGCGACCCAGGTCCCGAGCGTGTGGTTTGGCAGCACGCCGTCCTGGCTCCTCACCAGTGTGGCGGCCTGAGTGCCGCCCGTGGTCACCGTGATGCCGGTGTTCCTTGGCTGAGGCATGGCGGCCTGGGCCACCCTCATCATGAGGCCACAGGCCCTCCTCAGGGGGTTCATCGTAGTCATGGTAGCTGTGCCTGGCAGGGCCTCGCTTCTGGGAGGAGGAGGAAACTGCATGGCCCCCGTGGTGCCTGAACCGGTCAGAGCGGGCATCCCGGGGCTTATCAAACCAGTCCGTCTCCTCCTGGCCCAGGTGATAAGCTTCAGAGACCAAAAACAGAATACCATCAACCCCCGGGCTGGCCGCAGGGGGAGGCCTAGCTGAAGCCATGCAAAGAAACCAAGAGAGTGGGTGCCACAGCCACAAGCAGATCAACAGGCCCCCAGCCCACCCTCCCGCAACCAGGGACCAGGGCACAGATGGAGCAGGCAAGGGCAGCCTGCCTGCAGCAGGGCCCAGCAGATGAGGCACCAGACCAGACCCTGCTGGGACATCTCAGGGCCCAGGGCCCCACAGGCAGGCAGGCCCCCCAGGTGCTGAGTATCCGCAGAAATCACCCCTGGCTGCCATTACCTTCGCTGTCGGAAACCACGCAGTGGGAATCATCCAGGATGTAGCCCTCCTCACGCTTATATGCGTGGGCCCGAGGTCCGTCCTTGACATGCTCCTGGACATCAGGCATGGAGTGACTGGAGCAGAACTGTGGGCAGGTATCCCCGCCGGGAGGGAGGGGCCCTCCGGCAGGGCGGGGCCTCCCCAAGGGGCTGACGGGGCTCTCCTCTTCAGAGGCCTGGCTCCGCATGGGGGGTCGTGCCCGGCTGTGGGCCATACTTAGGGATGAGGGCTTGGGGCCCGCTTTTTGAAGTCGCTCCACAGCCTCCCGTTCCCTTTCATACCCCTTGCCCCGGCCACTGAAGTCGTGGCTGGACAGCTTCTCCCCACTGTATGCAGAAGGTGCCCGGGACCGGCTGCTCCCACCATAAATGCGGTCGTCCTCCTCCACTGTGTCCCGGGTGGACATCCCATAATATCTCTGCTGCTCATACACATTCTTCTTGAGCCCATAGGTGATTTCATCCTGGAACTTCCTGCCCCGAGAGACCAGGCTGCTGCTGACTGCAGGTGGGGGGTAGGACGCCAGGTCCGACTCCACGTCCTTGGCCTCTTCAATAGGTGAGAACTTGGAGATCTTTTGTTCCATGCCCTGCTTCCGGTGCTTGCTGCGCTTTGAGGAGATGGCAGCTGGAGCCAGGCTCTTGGAGGGATGCTTGGGCCCCATGGGCCCTGGACCATACTTCTCTGCTCGAGCCCCATGCCTGTAGTCACTGTCACCATAGTAGTGGCTACTGGCTGGTCGACCATTGCTCTCCATGCTCCGGAGGTGGCCACCCTTCCCGCGGGGGTCGTATGAGTCCTCCTCAGATTCCTCTTCTCCTCTGGCATAGCAGCAGGGCAGTGTAGGCCCCTCAAGGACACCTGGTTCTCCAAGCTCCTTCCCTGGACGCCCACTGCTGCCTGGCCCCAGGGGCTCCAGCCGCTGGCTATCAGGAGCAGTAGAGGTGCTGTCCTTGGTCAGTTCACTGATGTCATCAATCATTACGTAGTTTCGAGGAACGTTCTGCTCCAGACTGGTATAGTGTGAATCAGAGGGGTAGGTGGGGGCTGGACTCTGGCTTGCACTGCCACGTTCACCAGCCCGGGGCACCTCAGGGACCTTGCCCTGCTCATAGCCGCTGCTCACTGCTGAGCCACTGTAGCTGGTTTCAGATGGGGCTGAAGACATGGCCACAACGGGGCTGGCGATCACCTCATAGTTGGTGGGCACCTTCTGCTCCAAGTCAGCTAGCGATGTCTGGTGTGGCTTCTGCAGTGGGGCACGGCTATCAGTGGGGACTGGAAAAAGGGTGCTCTGTGTGGTTGGCATGGGTGTTTGACCTGCATAGTGGCCTGTGGGACGGAAAGCCTGCTGGTTTGGCAGGCCAGGCTCAGCTGGGTAACTGGTGCCAGGAGGAAAGGCAGGAGCTGGGTACGTGTTGGGGCCAGGGTAGGTGGGGGCCTGGTGGGCAGGGAATCCATTCTGAGTTGGCCCACCACTGCCTGCAGAATACTGTGGGGTCGGAGGCTGGAAGCGGGCCTGCTGGAAGGCAGTGGGACCAGAGGGGGCGGCAGGAGCAGTGGCAGTGGCAGGGAAGTCCACGTACTGGCCAGCGGGAGTGGTGCAGCCCTGGAGCCGCAGCTGGTTGAGTTCACTGTCCGACAGGTAGTCACGATGCTCACCAAGACCACGCAAGGGTGGGTAGTCACGGCCACCCCGGTCTTTGGCCAAAGACTCTTTGCGTTGTGTGATACCCAGCTCCAGGTACTTGAGCTTGGCGTCAATCTCCTTCTCCTCCTCATCCAGCTCCGCCTGCTTCTTGCGCAGCTTGGTGGACTCATGCTCCACCAGCCGCAGGTCCCGGTCCAGCTCCCGGAGCAGGCTGGCCTTGGTAGCAGGGACAGCGGTGGGCCCCGTCAGCCCTCGCTGCAGCAGGCTGGCTGCATACAGCTGTGGGGAGGCCTGGCCAGCCAGGGGAAGGTGAGCCTCCTCTGGAGGGGGGCTGGGCAGTGTCCGCTTCACCTTGCGGACCAGGCTGTTGGGTGGCAACGCCGACACCTGAGACAGAGGGAAGGGTGGGCAGCACTGAGACCCAAGGTGTGGTGACTTGACGGGGTGTGGGGTGACAGAACCCAGGCCTGGGCTGGGGAAGGAGCTGGGTTCCATCCTGCTGGTGCCCTGATTTACCAGGCAGCCTGGAGGCCTACCCTGCCCACCCATAGGCCTTGTTTTCTTTGCCATGGAGGGAAGATCTGTGATATTTTACAGCCTTTCTCTTCCCCAGAGCTCTGGGAAGCAGGAGGGTAGGGGCAGGTTCCCTTCATGCCAATGTCCTGTACTGGCCCAGCACATTGCTTTGAGAACCCCTGCACATCTCCAGTGGGCCTGCCACCCTCTGCTTCACATTGAGGTGAGGAGAATACAGCTGTGGCTCTGGGTCTGGGGCCTAGCAGCTGACAGGGGTTGAGATCAGTGGAGTATGAACAGGAGGCATGGAGTGGAGAGGGTCCTGGGCCCGCCAGGCTCCCTAGAGGATCATGGGAAGGGACACATGTGGACTGTATGCCAATCGTGGCAGGCTCTGAGTCATTCTGCATCCTGCTCTAGTCCTCTCTAACGTGGCAGGCTTCTCAGCTGCCTGCCCACCCTCTTCCTCTAGCGCCCTGCACCACCCTCTGCCAAACCCTTTGGGCTGTGCTCTTGGCCTGGTCCCCAGCTCCCTCCATGTCCCTCGGTCAACCTGCTGTTCTCTGGAGCCACCAGCGCACCTGTAAGTCCTCTCCAGCCCTACCTCCAGCAGCATGGCTTCCTGGTCAAGGTTCCCTAACAGTGCCTACCCTAGATACTCTGCATTGCCTGAAGGTCCACATTGCCTGGCAGTTCACTCTGCCTTCTCCCTTTTTCTCTAGCTCCTAGGCTTCCCAGAATGCCCCATACCCTTGGGTTTCATGGACCACCCAAATTCCAAAATATACTGGGAAGTGACTCATACAGGATTCTTACTTTTTTTTTTTTGAGACAGAGTCTCACTCTGTCGGCCAGGCTGGAGTGCAGTGGCACAATCTCAGCTCACTGCAACCTCTGCCTCTCAGGCTCAAGCAATTCTCTTGTCTCAGCCTCCCGAGTTGCTGGGATTACAGGGGTGTGCCACCACGCCTGGCTCATTTTTGTATTTTTAGTAGAGACGGTGTTTCACCATGTTGGCCAGGCTAGTCTTGAACTCCTGACCTCAGGTAATCCACCCGCTTCGGCCTCCCAAAGTGTTGGGATTACAGGCGTGAGCCACCGCGCCCAGCCGGATTCTTACTTTTTACCTTGCCAAGTAACTACCTAAAAACCTCCCAACTATGTCCACCATATGTCATAATAAAAATTAGAGTGTGCCCCCAAAATTTCAGGGTGGGCCTTTTATGGAATAAATTTAGCCTTTTGAACCCCTCACTCTGTTGTCTCTTTTCTTATTTTGGCCATGCATCATGAGTGCCTATCATGGCCCGGTCTCACATGGCCAGCCCATGGGACCTCTGTGCCTGCAGCCAGGACCACCCTGCCTGTCTGACCTGCCCTCCCTGCCAGCCTAGAGTCCCTGATCCCACCCACACCCCTATATGGCCTGCATATACCAAGACTATTCACTACCCAAGATCATCACCTCCACAAATCCATTCTAAGGCCCCACTTTTCTCCTCTCTGCGTCACACCCTGAAAATGGGCAAATCTACCTCATGATGCCTCTGGTTCCTGCCTCCTCTGCCAGATCTCTTCCTTCAGCCCGGCATCCCACATTCTGCCCAGGAAACTTTCCAAAACATCTGCTTTGTCCCATCTCACCTGCCTAAAACCTCCAGAGGCTTCCAGGGTCTTTAGGAAAAGCCAACCCTCCTCAGCCTGGCACTCAGTTGTTGGCATTAGGCCCTCACAACCCCCTATTCTCACTTCTGCTGCAGCCCACAGCCAAGCCACTTCTTACAGTCCCCATCCATCACTGGCAAATAAAGCCACAGCCAAGGGTTATTTTATGCTTCTGAATCCTCTATCTAGGGGAGCAGACAGGTGTGTAAACAGATTTACCGAGGGCCAGGTAGGGGCAGGGAACACCCTGGGGCAGACAGCACACTGCAGCCCGCTGGGATGGGCCCCTAGTGCTAGGCCATGGGGGCGTGGGCTTCCTGTGTGGCAGTGGAAACCAGGCCAGGACTGAGAGGATGAGAGCACCCCTGCCAGGTCCATGTGACTGATCTTCTTAGGAAACGCCCATAGATGAAGTTTAGAGTGGAAGGGGTCCAGACTAGAAGTGAGAGTTGAAGAGGCCTGAAGTGGGGAGGTAGCAGGGGCTGGACCAGGTATGGATGGTGAAGGGACAGTGCTGGGAGGAGGCTGAAGCTTCTAGTGGGGTATATGGCTGGAAGGCTGTGGGGGCCCATGTGTGTGTCTGTATCTGCCAGGCTGTCTGCCGGGCTGCAGGCTCTATCAGATGTGCACCAAGGAGCATCTGCTCATTGACACCTTCCCCTGGGCCTCTGGGGCCAAAGATGCCTCTACTCCCACCCCAGAAGAAGCCCCTCCCTGTGGGGGCCCCTCAGGCTAGGCAGAGACCCCTGTCCCACCCTGGAACAGCCCCTGTTCCCATACCTGGCTACCCAGTCCCCCCTGGTGCTGGTAGAGGGAGAATCTCTCTTTGGCAGACTCTTCAGCGGTGGGGCTGAGGGGCTTAGGGTCAGACAAGGACCGCTGCAGGGTCTTCATGGGGCGAGGCAGCGTCTGCTGGCGGAGAGCGCTGTCAGCCGTGAAGTGCTTCTGGGGACTCACATGAGCCTTGTTCAGCCTCTCACTGGAAGCAAAGGAGGTGTCCAGGAGCCGGTGAGGGGACAGGGGTGAGACTGGTGAGTAGAGGACCTGAGGGGACTTGGGAGGCTGGCGGCTCACAAGCTGTGAGAGAGACTCCGGAGGCAGGTGGGCCTGGTACCCAATCTCCAGGGGATCTGGCTTCTTTTTTTCAAATCTGCCCAGAGGCCCTGGGGTGACGATCTGGATGCCAGGCAGGTAGGGGCTGATGGCAGTTGGCCCTACAAGCTGCGGCCCGGCTACACCCTGGGCCTGCCCATCTGGCTCCGTCTGGCAGGCCAGGCTCTCCCCGCGCCCAGTCTTCTCTGGCGCCGATATGTACCTGACGATCTCCACCTTGGGATCGGTGGCAGCTGTGATGTGGATGGCTGGAGAGACCCTGGGCAGCTGGTCAGGCTCCGTCTGCACAGAGCAGTCACTGATGGTCTGGATGCCCACACTGCTCATGGCCCTCACAGTGGCAGCAGCACTGGATGACGAGGCAGTGGCATCGTGCTTGCTGTCAGAGCCTGAGTCTGAGTGGCGGGGAAGACGAGACCTGCGGCGGCGCACTGGCTGCTCCCACTCAGCACTGTCCTCGTCGTCCGTCTGCACGCTGCAGTCAGCACTCCGCCGTGCCCGGCGTCGCCGACTCAAGAGGTAGCGGCCCTCCCCATCCTCATCGTCTGTCTGCACGCTGCTGTCGGCAATCCTCCTGACCATACAGGGCTCAGCCGCAGACTCTGGCTCACAGGCATCCCGCAGGCGTGGCATGGAGTGCCGCTTCTTGATGCCACCACGGCTGGCCTCCCACTGCTCCTCTGTTTGCAGTGACATGTCTGAGGCAGAGCTGGGGAGACCCCGGTGCAAGACAGGCTCACGAGGTTGCCCAGGTCCTTCAGGCCCTGCCATGGCAATGAAGGCTGCATGGGTAAGCGGGGGCCAATACTGGCCATTCTGGGCCAGCTCAGCAGCCGCTAGGGGAGGCCCTCGGCCAGGTGCCTCACAGGCTGCAGGAAAGGGAGCCTTCTGCCGCTGCTTCTGCTCCTCTAGCTGCTGCTGCAGCTGCTGCTGCAGCTGCTGGATCTGCTCCAGCTGCAGACGCTGCTGCGCTAGCTGTTCCCGCTGCAGTGCAAATTGAGCCTGGCGTTCCTCTTGCTGCTGCTGCAGCACATGGTGCTTGATGGTCTGCAGTTCCTGCAATTCCCGCTGCACCAGCAGCTGCTCCTCCTCACGGTGTCTCTGCAGCTCCACACGTTCCCGCTCTAGCTCCTCTTGCAGCCGAAGTTGTCGCAGCTTCTCCAACTCCACCCGCTCCCGCTCTAGCTGGAGCAGCTGCTCCTGTTGCTTCCGCTGCCTCTCCTCCTGTGATGCTTCCTCTTTCTCGAGCCCTGACCGGCTGAGGGCCCCACTGCCACCCCCAGGAGCAGCATCTACTGGTGGCTTCTGGCCAGCTAGTGGGGCAGGAGCTGGGGCTCCTGCAGCCTCCTTGATGGCAGCAGGGGTGGTTGTGGGAAGAGGCTCTTCCCGTACAGCCCCTACTGGTATCTCTGGCCTTGGAGGGCCCCCAGCCCCGGAGGCCTTGGCAGCAGCAGGTTTCCCCAGATAGACAGGCCCTTCTGCAGGTGGAACACTGGAAGCAATGGGAAATCTACTTGGTGCAGGATATCGGTACAGCCCTGTGGGTCCAAGAGGTACCCGGGGGGCAATCATGGGCACACGTGTCAGACTGGTGAGTGGCACGGCTGTGATTCCACCAGATGCATAAGGCCTGTACATGCCACCACGCACCATGGGCCGCAGGACTGAGGCAGGCTGGGTGGTGATGGGCAGTGTTGCAGCAATTGGGGTATTGATAGTCGAGTAGATCATGCCATCAGCTGCACGTACAGTGGCTGTGGACGGCAGCAGCTGTCTGACTGCTGTTCCCTGGCCTGCTGCAGGCCCATACTGGGCAAAGTTCCCAGGACTTGGGTGGCCCTCTGGAAAGGTGGGGTTACCAAGGAGTCCAGGTCTGAGGGGAGCCAGACTCTGCGGAGCACTGAGCCCGGGCCCGTGCTGAGGCTGGTACTGCACAAGGTCAGGGCCACCACCACCAATGCCATGCCGCCCACCATACTGGTCCATGGAGTTGAGGGCAGCGCACATGCGACTGATTTCACGGGCTGTGGTGGCACTGTACTGGGCCAGGCTGGCCTCCTGGAAGCCAACTGCCTCTCCCCGTGGGCCGTACCTGTGGTCTGAATAGATGTTTGACACTGAGCTATAGCGCCGCATAGGAAGCGGGTGAGCCAAAAGGTCTGTAGGATGACGCAGGTCCGTGACTGAGCCATACTGCAAGCCCTGCCCTAGGTAGCGTCCGTCTGCAAAGCCCAGACTGTAGGAGTGCTTCAGTGAGCTGAGGTCCATAGCTGACTCTCGTCCAGGACCCTGGAAGAGCTGCCCGATCCTCTGGGCATGGTAGTTGAGGCCAGCCTCAGCCAAATTGGTGTCAGACATGGAGGAGTACAGCCTACCAGGCAGGCCTTGTGGGTAGGGCCTCTGCTCCTCATGGGGCCCAGGCCCCACAGCCCCCTGTGCCCGGTAGGTGGGGGGCTCAGGAGGCTCAGGGTCCCGGGGACCATAGAAGGGGCCACTGCTTTGGCCAGGTGGGGCAGTATCTGCCATGCTCTTCTCAGGCACACTGGGGGCTGGGTGGAAGGTGCCAGTGCAGCTGCTGCCAAAGGGGAGCTTGTAGACCATGTCACAGCATGCCAGCTGGCTCTCAGGCCTCATCCCGGTAAGGTCCAGGGCACCCGCAGGCTCCTCTGGGAGCAGTGTGGTCACAGTGCCTGCTGTGCCCTCTCCCATCTGCACCACCACTGTGTGTGGCTTCCTGGCACCTGGCAGAGCATGTGACCGCAACTCTGCAGGGGTAGCCCGGTGGGGCTCGGCACCCAGCTCTGGCACTGGGCCTGGCTTGAGGCCAATGCTCTGGGCGGTGCCCATCTGAGTGATCAAAACGTCCCTTCTGGCCAGAGGTGCTACTTGGTTGGGCAGATTATATCTGGCAAACTTGGCCTCCCTGGGTCTTCCCCGGGGCCCACTTCGGTATGGGGCTGTCTGGACAGCCTGCTCCACTTGTTTGACCTGGGCCAGGCACACAGGGCTACCCCCACCCTGGCCAAAATCAAGGCGGCTCTGGTAGGGGTCTCCATAGACCACAGGCTGCTTTTGTTGAGCCATGAGCACAGACGAGGCCATGGTGATGCTCACTGTGGTGGCAGTGGCAAGGAAGGTATGGGTCTGCTCCTGGGCATTGAGGTTGATAACCAAGGGCTGCACGGCAGTCGACTGCCGTCCTGGGATTGGATCCAGGGCAAGACCATACTTCCTCGCTTCCACAGCAAGAGAGGTGAGGTCCATGCCCTGGTCAGTGAGGATGATGGGAGTGGGCTTGACAGCTGTGCGGAGGTCTACCACTGCAGTGCCAGGGGGCCTGGGGCCTGGCTCAACCCTAGATGTCCCAGGGACAGAGGAGATCCGGCACAGGGAGATGTTCTCAGCAGGGAGGGCACCCCAGCCATATAGTGCCAGGGGCCCGTCCGCACCAGCACTGGGTGCCCGTGGAAAGCCAGGTGGCCCAGGTGGCTCTGGGGGCAGCTGAGACACACTCGGAGGTGTTGTCTGGCTGTAGCCATGGGTGGTGGGCTGGATTTCAGTAGGTGAGCAGAGCGGGGAGGTGGAGGCACTGGCATGTACCATTCTGGTCTGGCTGGAGGCGTCTGATGCCAGTGTGATGACCATAAAGGGAGCCTCCTGAGAGGACTCCTGCCACACCAGGCGAGGTGTGCTGGGTCGATGTGGTGTTTGTGTGCCCTGAGCTACCATAGGTGATGGAGTGGGGGCACCAGGGCTCCGTGGCATGTCTGAGGCAGGGGCTGGACTTGGCGTCTGTGTAGAGAACTCTGCTGTGGCCCTTGGGCGCAGCTTGCCAGGGGAGAATGTGGGACTCTCTGAGGGGGAAGATGGGGAGAGAGGTGGGCTGGAGCTTGCAACGTAGGAATATGCCCGGGAAGGCTGAGGAGTGCCACCCTCACCATCACTCGCACTCAGGGGCTTCTCTCTAGCAGCCTGTCCAGCTGCAGCAAGGCCAATGGGGGCCTGGGGTAGATCCTCAGTTTGGGACCCATAGTTTGCAGTGGTTGGGCTGTGTCCATAGCTGTGGGCTGTGGAAGATGGTGAAGGACTGCGCTCGGAGCCTGCTGGGGAGGCTGGAGTCATATATCCTCGTGGCAGCCCAGCCGGACAAGGAGCCACAGCTGTGGTGGCTGGGGTCCCAGGGCCCTGGGAAAAGGGCATGCCTACCTCCTTGGAGGTTAAGCTGGGGGAGGCAGGAGAGCTGTGCAGCTTGAGGGGGTCCTGAGTCTCCTTTGCAAAATGCTGAGTGACACGGACATCGGGAATAACTCGGCCCCCGCTGCTGTCTGAGGAGGTGGGGGTAGAGAAGGACACAGGGGCCGTGAGCTGGGTGGGACTGGTACCAGGGGTAAGGGGGCCACCATTTTGCTTCATTGGGTCCATGTATGCACTCTCAGCATTTAGAAACTGCTTCTCCTTCTTTTTGTCCTCAGCAAAAGCCAGGTCTCGTGAGGAGGCCTGCCGCATGCGGACTATGCTCTGTGATGTCTGAAGGATTTCTTCATACACAGCTGCTCCCAGGCTGGCTGGCGTGCCCTCTGCGGCAGGCTGAGCAGCCCGGCCATAGTCATGGTCTGCAGTGTCTTGATATTCGAAGGAGCCCAGGCCCCTGGGGCCTGTGGGCTGAGAGGGGCCGCCATGGGGTCCCCGGGCCCCTGCCGCCTGGCCTTGCTGCCTCTGAAGCAGCTCAGCTTTGCGCATCATCTCCTCATAAGCCTCCTCGGCGCTCTTGAGGGGCCGTCCGGAACTGGGAGTGGTGGAGCTGCCAGAGGGTGTCTCGGTTGGTGAGTAGAGGGACATGAAGGTGGGCAGGTTGTACTCACTGCCTGACTTGTAAAGCCGGCTAGGGCCACCATCCAAGGCCTCAGCCTCAGAGTCAAGGGAGGGCGAGGGTGAGTACTCGGAGCAGGAGGAGCGGTGCAGCTCCTCCATCTCGGCCGCCTGCCTCAGCTCCTCCGTGGGGGAGGCATCCTCAATGGGTGACAAGTTACTGGGTGGTGTCTTAGAGCGCTCTCGCCTCCGCTGGGCCCGCAGCTCTTCCTTGTCCCGCCGGGTCTTGCGGGCCGTGCTGCGGATGCGCTGCTGCTCCACCTCCCGCATCTTCTCTTGCTCACGCAGTAGCTCCTCTTCCTCCCGCAGCTCCTCCTCCTCCGAAGAGTCCTCAATGGTGGGTAGCAGGGGCCCATGGGAACGGTGCCGGGCCTTGCGCTGCTGCTTCGCTTCTTCTAGACGCTGCCTGCGGCTGGGGCTGCTGTCACTGTCCTCCTCTAGGGAGGACAGAGAGGTGGGAGAGGTGCCTGAGGTGTAGCTGGGTGTGGAGGCAGGCAGTGTAGAGGAGTGCTCACCACGGGAACGGTCCTCAGGGGAGCCTGTCAGGCTCTCCATCTCCAGCTCGGGCTCCCGGTCCAGACTGGGGTCTGGGCCTTGGCCCAGGTCCAGCTCATGACTATAACTGCCCGTGCTGTTGAGCTCAATGGTCTTGAAGCGACGGAGCCCACCCTGCAGGGCCCCACTGCCATCGGTAGCTTCTGCTGGGCCTCCCTCAGGGAGCAGCTCCTCATAGCCTGTGGTGGCATTGTGGGGCAGGCGCCTCTTGGGCAGTGGTGCTGGTTCTTGGCTAGGCTCAGGCCTGGGTCTGGGGCCACCCTTCTGGGTGCCATGTTTGGCCAGGCCACGCCCGGAGGTGGCAGTGTCATCCTCCTCCAGGTTGTCTTCCTCGGCGCTCATCTCCAGAATCTGCCGTCGCATGAACTCCTCATCAGTCAATTCTGCTGCCCGGGCTGGGGGCTGGGGTGGAAGAGGTGACAGGCCACCCTCACTGCTGTCCTCCACATAGTCATGCCTCAGTTGGCTGCCAAAGTCGTCTGAGGACTCAGCAGTGTCCTGCTTCTCTCTCCGGCGCCTCCACTCAACAGAGTCTTCGTCTTCCTCCAGGATATCCTCCAGCTCCTCATCAGAGTCAAAGGCCTCAGGCGTGATGGACAAGGAGTGGGGCCGCTGCTTCTGCTCCTCGCCAGTACTGCTGGAGAGTGGCTTGCTCCGCTCACCACTGGGGGCCAGGCCCTGGGCCTGCAGCAAAGGCCGCATGCTGCTCCCCACCTTGTGGATCTCGGAGGGGCTGGGTGGATGTGGCCCTGTCACCCCTGCGCTGTCCAGCTGTTCCACCTCCTGCTGCACGACTCCTGTGATCTCACTCTGGGAGCTAGAGATGCCGTCGGAGGAATAGCCTGTGTCACTGAGGCTCTGTGGGCTCCGAGACATGTCCTGAGAGTAAGGCTTGCCCACCAGGTCCTGCAGCAGGGTGAAAAGCAGACACTGACTCCCCATGGCAAAGCCTGTGGTGGGAACCCAATCCTCCCTGTCAATCCCAGGATCCTGGGGAAGAGTCTGTCCATTTCCCAAGGGTTTAGGGCCCGCCACCCACCCTATCTCCTTCTGGCCTTGAATAATCTGAAGGATCCATGGCAGGCCCAAACCAGCCCTTGGTCTTCAAAGAGAAACTTTACTAGATCAAAGGGTATCAAAACCCAGCAAAGCATCTAACAAGGTGCCGGACACAGCACCAGTGTAAAACTCACAGTCTCCAAGCTTGCCAGAACCTCATCTAGACTTTCCTCCTATTGTGTCCCTTCCCTCCTATGTGGCCCCAAGGCACCTGTCCTGAGCCTACAGCCTCAGCCACCCAGGGAGGCAAGCCTTTCCATAGACTGTCCTATCTGAAAGCTAGGGTCTCTGGGAAGTGAATGGGACTGACCTCCGCCTCCCCACCCTTGGGGGCTTCTGGAACAGCCTTGACGACAGGGGTGGCAGGTTCAGCCCTCCTCACCCCACTCTTTACTTTAGGAGTCCCAGGGGTTGGGGTAGTCTCTGGAGGTGGCTTCGACATGGGCTCAGCTTTAGTGGGGACTCCGGTCTTCTTTTCCTGGGCACTGCTTGGGGTCTTGCTGGGTTCAGAAGCTCTGAGGGGCTTGGCCTGGGGGCTGGCCTTGGTGGGCAGAGGGCTGGCCTTGGTGGATAGAGGGCTGGCCTTGGTGGGTAAAGGGCTGGCCTTGGCAGGCAGGGGGCCTGATGGCTGGCCCAGCCCCTGTGACCCTTTCTGCTTCAGAGGGGATGCTCCAGATGCACGGTGAGGGGCCCCCACAGGGGGCTGCTGTGAGGTGGGTGGCAGCACAGGGGTCGGCTCTCCCAGGCTGCCCTCCAGTAGCCGCTTGGTTTGGCAGTTCAGACACAGCCACTCTGTTTTCTGCAAGGAAATGGGAGACGGGGTTAATGAAAATTAAAAAGACACTGAAGTCCTCAAATAATATTTCCATAACTATTTCTGTAACCTTAGGGAGGAGAGAACTTTCAAAGCATGACACCAAAGACATAAGGAAAAAAAGACAGATCGATTTACTACCCCCAAATAACCAACTCCCCTATCCTTAAGATGAACATACACAAAGTCAAAATGTAAGTAACAACCCCAAAGAAGAGAACTTTCCTTGACCCACAGAGAACTTTTCACCCAGCCAGAAAAGGGGAATATCTGTGGGGAATGGGAGGGTCTAGCCCTAAGCACAGGGGGAAGCTGAGGTCTCAATCTGAGGGAGCAAACAGCTCCTAGCGGGCAGTTGAGAACTCTTGCAGAACAGGAGTGGCATCCAAGCATGGAGCACTTCCTGGAGGCACTACGCTTCCCCTGCCTCCCAGCTCTCAGGTCTGACTCCATCCTTCTCCACACTCTTCCCCAGGTAAGGGCTATGCTAGACAGGGTGAAGACTCCTGGGGCCAGGGGAGGCTATCTGGGAGTAGCCCTGCTTGGTGGAGGACAGAGGGGCTGTGCAGTCCTCCCTGCTCAAATCCCCAGCCCAAGTCACCTTGTCTAAGGCCAGCAGAGACCCTTAGGTAGAGGCTTCCTCCTGCCCCCAGGGCACTGGACTGTTCCTCGGATGGGGACTATGTGTGGTGGTCCTTGTGTCAGGGGCCCTGCTCCTTCCAGAGCTGGACTGGGATCAAATTCTCAACCATCGGTCCACCACTCTCAAGATCCTCTACTGTTTCAGGCCCAGGGTTGGGAGCTGAAGACAGCCATGATTCAGCAGACAGACAGGCACTGGCATGCAGCCTTTCTGGAGCCCACAACCCCAAACAGGTCATTTACAAGTATGACACAGGTATTAATGGTGAAGCCCCCCAGAATACAAGAAGCGAAGTCCAAGTCTCCCAGCCCCAGCTGCCTTGTACAGGTGTAGAGTTTCGGCATCTCTGTGGCCTAAATGGGTGATTCCTGAAGCAGGTCTGAGGCTGACAGGGGCATGTCTCACAGTAGCCTCCTCCAGAGTCAGGGTTCCTCCTTGGCAGGATTTGAAGTCCTTCCCTGGCCCACATGGGATGGGAAATGAGAGTTACAGGGGAGCCCAGAGCAGGGTCCCACAGACACCTGTGCCTGTTCTTACTCTGAGGCACAGAGCCTTATTGCTCCCTCCATCCTGCAGGGAGCTCACTCATGCCAGGTGCCTGGACATATAGGCTCCCACCAGCAACTCTGTCACTGAGATGGACCATAAGAATCACAAGGTCACAAAGCCAGAGAACTGGAAAAGGAGGTGACCCTTGGCCCTTGCCACCCCCAGGAAGGCTAACAACTTCAGTACCCTCACCTCACATGCTGCCTCTGGCAGCCTTGGAAGTCTGGTACCCCTAGGGTGCCTGCCTCAGCCTGGCATCCTAGGGCCACCATGGCAGATAACATGTCAATGATTCTGCCCTAGTTTGCTGTCCACAGAGAGCTACACTCCACTTCTCTTCTCTGGGCTTCAGCAGAGGACAGGCTGGGCAGGTGGTAGGGCCTTGGTGTGTGCTGAGGGACAGGCCTGCTCCGCAGGCTGGTTACTCAGGGTCGAGACTGCTTCTTTCCCACTGGAGCTTCTGCTCTTCCCCAAGGCCCAACCCTATGCACAAATCCCAGGCAGAGGAATGGGGCAGTGGCCCAGCTGTGGAGGGGAACGCTTTAGATGCCCTACATACATATATTCACTCTGTTCTCTGCACAGCCCAGCCCTAACACCACTTTTGACTCCCTTGAACCTTATCTGACGCTCAATGTGTCTCCACAAAAAACCCCACGAGGCAGTAAGTGCTGGCCACTGGCCAGGACCTGGGCTCACTTGGCCTGGCAGGATGTACCCCCAGAGGTGCCTGGGGAGAATTCTGGATAGGTTGAGACCAAGCCCCAGAAGAACAAGACATAGGAAAGCACACAGCCTGATCCAGGAACCCTAGCTCACACGCCCCCAGCATCACCTGTGTACACAATGGAAATTCCCCCATGTCAGAAAGGACTGTGAGGTGGCAAAATGACCCCAGAGAGATGGCAGGGCTATAGGCAAAGGCCAAGAGAGAGAGCTCTGGAAATAAGCAAACAGCCCCTTCCCCAGCCCTATGGTCAGCATGATGGGTTTAGGATCTAGGCCCAGTGGGCTGGACCAAGGCAATGCTGCCCTAACTCCACTTTGGAGCCCTGTGCACACCCATCCCATGTTAGGCCTCTTAAAGTTTGGTTATCTGCCCTGGCCTACCTTAGTGGCCTGGCAAACCCCTAACTCCATCTCTGGCCTGGAAACCCCACACAGAAGCAACAGTCTAAATGAAACAAGTCACCTTGGAAGGGTGGTCTGGATGGAGGAGGCAGACCTAATGCTAAGTGCTCTGACCAAATGCTGGAGAGGCCTGCTTGCCTGAGCCCAGAGGCCCAGCCCTCAGCAGAGATGTTACCTGTGGTCACATGCTCCCTGGGGCTTTGCTCCTTCATACAGTTATTCACGGAGACAGCCAGGTTGCAGGTTGCCTGGCAGGCCCTCTTGCTCCTGGCTCTGCTATAGTAGGCAGTGGGGAAGGGAGAGCAGGCAGGAAGAGGCGTGTGAAGTAAAGGCTAAAAATAAACATTGACCTGGCTGCTGGAGGCCCTTCACAAGCCCCCTGGGAGTGGGGAAGAAGGGTACAGGGCACTGGGGCTGGTAGTAGAGCCAGGGGGGACCTGGCCCAGGCCCAAGTCTTCTGGGGAATGAGAATCAGGTGGAAGGCAGGCCATGTAGAATCTCTGTGCCTGGGGGCGGGGACACAGTTGCTGGGGTTCCAATTTCTTTATTCATTCTATTCTCATTTTCTCCAACCCCAACATACCCCTACCTCCATCCCAATAGTTCATTCCCTTATTCTGCTCGTTTCCATTCCCCAGTTTCAGTGTTCATTTCTCATTCAGCCATCCATTGATTGCACAGCCCTCTTGTACTCTGCCTCACTCAGCCCATGCCAGTCCCAGTCCTTGGGAAAGTGCTGCCTGCTTACTCCTTCACCTGGCCTCTTTGACAAAAGGGTAGGGGATGGATAATGGGGTGGCTCTGATGACTACTTCTGTCTCACTCCCTCTGTCCAGTTCCTTTCTGGGGCAGAAAGGTACAAATTCCCTAAGGACAATCATCACCTAACAGTGAGAGAGGCAGGTGTGTATGCCATCAGATGGCACTCAGTGGTTCAGGGCATCACTATTTAGGGTAAAGGAGGGGAAATGTGATGACTGAGTTAGTGGGGTACCCTCTAGGCACGTGAGAGCTGCTGCCTTCTGGGACCACTTGCTATTGTGCCTTGTGACTCGGGACAGATCCTGCACTGTCTGCTATCATCTAAATAAGCCTGCAGTCCACGTAATCTCTTCATGTGTGGAGCTGGCCTGCATGCCAGTATGGTTATGGTGACACCATTCCCAGTCAATGCCCTATGGCCAGCTGCCTGGCCCTAAACACCCTCAGCCCTGCTGCCAGACCAGGGGGCTGTGAATGAGAACTCTAGTAAAGGATGCCCAGGGGTCATCTTGGAGGACACTGGACCACAGGGATGGCCATCACTGGTGCTGCTATTCCTCTCCTGACTCTGCTACCCTGAGCCTCCCTGTCACTGGACATGCCTAAGCTCCTTCTTTCTCGGCCTCTTCCTCTCATAAAATAAACCCTCCCTGGTGTCCCCAGTGTGTATCCTTGTGGCTGGGCTGTACCCCCCACACTCCCCAGCACTAAATGTGTTCATTCCCTGTGGGGCATCCCTCATGATACCAAGAGCTTACACCGGGCACAGGGTCCATCCACAGCCAGATAGGGGCTCTTGGGGACGCTTCCTTTCTCACATAGAGACCCTCTTTTAGGATACTCCTGTTCCAATATCCTGGCTTAAGGGCCGACTGTGTCAGGCCTTGCATAAGTATCTGAGGTACAGCATCTCACCTGGTTCTCATAGAAACCTAAGAGGGAGTATTGTGGTCCCTATTCTATATGGGAGGCAACAGGGCCTCTGGCCTGATGCCCCTGCTGCAACCCCTGCCCCAGTGAGCAAGCCCAGCCCCACATATCACAAGTGCAAGGGACTTTGCCCAGGGAGGCCCAACTTCTCGAGGGCACAGCTGGAATTTTGGCAATGATGATACAGTAAGAGACTGGTAATGTTACTGTCACAATTCCAATTCTACTAATTTCTTCACAAACTCTATTTTGAACTGAAAGTCAATCAAAAATTAAGCCAGAGGGTACTATTATCCTTCCAAAAGATAAATAGGTAAAAAAAAAAAATTGGAATCAACAACTCTTAATTTTATGAAATGGCTTACTAAATAGCACTATGGTTATTTTTTTCAGAGGAAAGTTCAAAAGGAAAAAGGATCCAATTTTACTCCCTCCTCTACTGTGTGCTCTGAACTCCCAATCTAGAAAGAAAGACTTTTACAGCTCAGAAATGTTCAGGAAAATTTCCAACCTATGGGGAAAATTCCCAACCCATTAGCCCAGACGGTTGACTCTGGCCTCAGGTGGAGTCCCAGGAGGTTTAACAGGGCTGTGGGGAGCTATGAGTGGGGCTCCACTGGTCTGTCCCTTCTTCGTGCACAGAGACACAGCACAGTCATTCTTGAGCCGGCAAGGTCCAGAGAGAGACAGCCATGGCAGACCCACCCTTAGGACCCGGAGAAGGACCTGCTGGCCTTACCACCACACTCCCAAGGCAGGGTAAGTGTCTCTGGCAAGTGCTGAGAAATCAGAAACCTCTAACCAAGAACACACAAAGTAGGTCACAGGGAAGCACAAAATTGCTCAGGATGCCAAGTGGCCATTGGCTGAGGTTAGATCCAAGACAACCCACGGCCTGGTTAGGGGCCTCAATAAAGAAAAGCAATGCTGAGGGAATGGGGAACATATCAACACCAGCCCCTCGCTAGACCCAAGTCAGGTGAAGCTACACAGAGGTTTTGGTCATTGTGTGGGTAAGGCAGGATAAGGATGGAAGGACTAAGGCTGTGACCATGGGTGGGAGAGAGGCCAGATTCTTGTGACAGTGGGGAGACAGAGCTGGCAGGGTTTGGTCCACGGAGCAGGTGCAGAGGTTAAAGAGGAGGAGGTGAGGATGACCCCGAGCTGCTGACTTGTGTCTCTGGTGGTGGATGGTGGTACAATCTCCATGGTGGGAACCATGGGAGGGGCATTAGGGCCGCCTATCCACACCTTCCCCAGAACAGCCGCAGGCCCTCTGGGGACAGCAGCATTGACAGGGAGAGCTACGAGAAAGGAGTTAGAGAGACTTCATTACCCCTGACTGCTATCAGGAGCAGCCTGGGCTGGGGATGAGGTAGGACCAGGACTAGGACCAGGACATCCCCCAGCTTTGCTTTCAGGCCCATGGGACCCATCAGACCCTGTGGAGACGAGAGTAGTCCTGGCTAAGGAGGGGGCAGTGGGGCGGGACATGGAGACAGCAGGAAATTTAGAGGAGTGTGATGGGGGAACACTGGCCATCAAGAGACAGAAGCTCCAGGGCCCAGGAAAGCCAGGACCAAGCAGCTAATGAGAGGCCTAGGTCAGAATCCAGACATTTCATCTAGTCAGTGTGTGGACAAAACTCTTCTGTTTGGGCAGAATCAGCACTTCCCATGGCCTGGCCCAGGGGCCGCCAAGAGGAGCTGTCAGGAACATTTATGCTCCTGGACAGAGACAGTTTTCCCCTCCCGTTCATGCTCATTCTGCTTAATAAGGAAATGTGGGCTGGAAGGTCTCTTGGGGACAGGAGTCCTCCAGGCCAGGCCAACTCAGAAGTCCACTGGGGCTCACAATAGCTCAGTGTCAGGGTGCCCCACTTGACCAGCAGTGAGCTTGTGCCTGGAGGTCTCTGGGCAGAGCAGCCAACTAGGGTTCTCCTGGTCTTGTGGTGACACCCTGGTGCACCCCTTCCCCCGAGCCAGTGAGGCAAAACTGTCACCAGTGAGCCACCAGACCTAGAGCTTGGAGAGTTGGCTTCGTGGCACCAAGAAGGCCACATTGGTGCCACATGAGGAAGTCAGTTGTCTTGCTCAGGGCTGCCCTTCCCTGCATATTGGAAAGTGTGGCCTTTGATGGCCAAAGTAGTCTTCCTAGTCACCCTGGGGTCTCATGGGGACTCCTGTGGAGTCCTGGTCCAAGGGAAGTCAGAACAAGGTGCCACAGAGGCCATGGCAACACCATGCTCTCCTCTCTTGTCCCATCCTGGGCCAGTGGTGGTTTGCACTCCACACACCCCTGTGCCACCATCAGCTACAAATGGCTCAGCCCAAGAGACCAGAGGGCTCAGGTGGCTGCCCATGTGCAAGATGCAGGGCCTTGGCTCGAACATCTCCTAACGTGACACAGCTGGGAAACACATTCACCTATCAAGACTGAGGGCACTCTAAGGAAGGAGACACACCAAGCTATACCCAAGGCAGCACGGTAGGGATCACATGGGTGGCCCTGGGCCAGGAAGAGTGGGCCACAGGACTAAGGGAGGAGCAGAAGCAGCATCTGCTCCTGGCCCAGGCTGGTCTAGTTCTGCCAGGGCACCTTCACCTTCTGAGCCTCTTGGGCTGGACTCCAGGCTTCGAGAGAACACTGAGCCTTACACTGGGCCTCCTGCTCCCTCCTGCCTAGCGCAGCACAGTGCCCAGTGCCCTTCCCTGGAGCAGGGACTGCAGAGAGAACAGCCACAACCCCAGGTCTGTCTCAAACCTTCCTGTGGGAAAGAGGAGCATCTCTGAGCATCCCACCAGCAGCTCTAAGGAGAGCCCAGGCCCAGCCTGGGTAAAATATGTGGACCAAAGGCTGTGACTTTGACAAGTAGACATCAACACTTATGACCTCAGAAGAGACAATCAAGGTTGAATACTACCTAGCTAGGCTGGAGCCTGGACAGTGGGGCATGCCCTGCCCCATTGTGAGAAAGCCTCCCACCTGACCCTGGACATGGGACACAACCGTCTACCCCATGGCCATTCAATCCCTACCCCTCTGAAGGTCACAGATCCCTGGCAGTGTGGGACCTCAGGTTCTCCTATCTGAGCAGGGGAGGGTGGTGTCTTTCATCAGGGCCATGCCCATGGTAGCTGGAAATGGGGAGGCCAGCTCAGGGACTCTGGGATCAGCCTTAGGGCACTAGTCAGAGTCGGTAGGCACCATTACCCCCAACTACTGTGCCAGTTAGTTCTCTGAGTGAAAGTTAGTTCTGAGTAGAACTGGGGCCTGAGGTAGGGACAGGAAAAGGAATGCAGCCCCTCTGCAGCATTCATTGTGCAGGGGCAGCCCCATGGCTGCTGCAGACCCAGTACTCTTTCTGGTTCCCATGCCACCCACTACCCAGGCCCAGCCTCTCATCAAGGCTCAAGGGAGCATGCTTGGTCTAGCTCTTACCTCCACCAAGTGGGGTGTTGGGTTAAAGCCACACAGGTTGCACACCTGGAGCCTGCAGGTAGTGCATGTGTTATAGTTGGCTGGGCTCTTGCTGCCCACATTAAGCTCGGCTTGGCACAGTGGGCAGGTGGCCCTTTCCTTCGGCATGGTCTTTGGCTTGGCAGCAGCCTTCGATGCTGCCTGATGTTCTGCTCTTCCATGCTTTGGACTGGTTGTTCCCCCAGTTTTCGGCAGGGCTCCAGGTCCAGATCCAGGACCCGTTGGACCCGTTCTAGCCCCAGGCTCAGTTTTGGCTCCAGGTGCTGGCCCGGGTCCGGGCCCTAAGCCCAAGGGTTTTGGGCCAGCCTCCTTGCTGGCATCACTGAAGACGATCTTGGGTGACCCCTTGCTGGGGCCAGGCTGGCCCTGGGTGTCAGCCTCAGGCTGCACAGACATGAGGGTGCTCGCCTGGGTTAGCAGCGATGCGCCAAGGCCGAAGAGCTTACCAGTGAGGCCCTCCTGGGTCTGCTCGGTGGCACCAAGCCCAGTGGGCACTGCAGTGGCACTTTTGGCTGGGGCCTCTCCTGCAGGTGGCCTGGGCTCAGCTGTGGAAGGCTTGGTGGGTTGAGGGGGCTGAGGAGACACCCTCCCCACCTCTGGAGGGGCAGCTGCTTGGGCAGGCTCTGGCACTGAGGTGGCCCTGGCCGTCTCACCCTGGCGGGACCCAGGCTGTAGTCCTCCTGGACCCCGAGATCTCTCTTGCTCTGGCTTCCCCAGGGGCTGTTTGGCCGGGGAGTGGGCAGGAGACAGGGCTGGGGAGTGCAGCTGCTGCTGGCTCTTGGAGCGAGGTGCAGTGGTCATGTCCATTCCCAGAGCCCTCTGCATCTGACAGTTCAGACAGAGCCACTCCTTCACCTGAAGAGAGAAGCAAAATAGTCAGTAGGGTGGCCAGGACTGGCGGTACTCATGGCTCAGGTCAGTGTAGGTCTCACAGTAGCCAAGGCTACTCCTAGCACAGGCAGGAGCACCAATCCTGCTCAGGTATTTCTGGGCTGCCAGGGGGCAGGGTTGAAGGACAGATGGCACTCCCCTGCCCTCTAGGAGTTGCCAGGCATGTGAGGCAGAGCGGAGGCAGTCCCATCCCCCAACCCCACCCCAACCACCAACCCACTGCCTGCCAGACCCTCCTGCTTGAGAGTCCTCCCTGCCACCCCCTGGCAGTGCCTCAGATCTGTGCACCCCAACCTCCTTGCTTGGATGAACCCAGTAGCCTTCCCCTGCTTCCCACTTCAGGCCATTTGCACACAGCAACCAGACTAATCTTTTAAAACCTAATCCAAGAGGAAAGGCATGGCCCTAGAGCAGTGCCTGTATGCAATGGGTATTCAGTAAAAACTCACAGAATGAATAAATAAGTGAAGAGTAATCCGTGGGAGAAGGAGGCATAGAGAATAAAAAGAAACCATGATTTCTATCCTGAAGGAGCTTAGAGTCTAGCTGAAGAAACAAGATACAGAATGAAAAATCTTGAGAACAAAATAAGTGAGGGTAAAGTAATGCAATGTAAGTGACTGATGTTAAGTAGAATTTTTAAAAGCCTTTTTTTCCCCTTAAGGAAGATAGCTTTTTAAAGAAATGGGATAATTCATGCCTCCAGAGCAAAGGAGACACGTGCCACTATCCACATGATAAACACATAGTTTCCCTCTGTCATTAGCCCCATGCAGGGATGGGCACATGACCTGGCAAAGAGTCAGTTAGAGCCCTCCACGTTATCTGGTAATGAACAACAGGAGAGAGGGTCTTTATTCCTTTTCCTTTGGATTACTAATCAGAAGGATGTAGCTTTGGAGCAGTAGTAGTCTTCTTTCCCAACATATGGAGAGATGCTAAGAATGACGTCCATAGATGGTAGGAGTCAAGGAAAGGAGAAAGGAGTAGATCTGATGACTTCATTCCATTCCCTGGATCTGGCTATGCCTCAAGTCTACCCTTGGACTTCCAGGTACATGAGCCAATAATTTTTCTGCAAAAAGCCCACATGTAAATCAGAGCATCTCACCAATAGGATCAAACACTCCAAGTGGATTTCCACAACACCTTGAGAACTCTTCAGCACAACCCTGTCACCCACCCCAGCCTCCCCCTCTCTCTGGCCTCTTTTCCTGCCATCTCCCCTTGGCTGTCTCACTGCAGATGCTCTGGGCTGTCTGCTCTGCCAAGTGGTCCCCTGAGCTCATTTCTGTACCAGGGCCTTTGTACTCCTTATTCCCTCTGCTCCCTGGCCCAGCTTGTATAGATTTCAGATGAGGTATCACTTTCCCACCAGGGACTCCTCTGGCCACACAATCTAAAACGCTCTCCTTTAGCCAGGTGCGGTGGCTCACACCTGTAATCCAGGTACTTTGGGAGGCAGAGGCAGGAGGATCATTTGAGGTCAGGAGCTCAAGACAGCCTGACCAACATGGTGAAATCCCATCTCTACTGAAAATAGTAAGAATTGGCCGGGTGTGGTGGCGAACGCCTGTCATCTCAGCTACTTGGGAGGCTAAGGCAGGAGAATTGCTTGAACCCAGGAGGCGGAGGTTGCAGTAAGCCAAGACTGTGCCACTGTACTCCAGCCTGAGCAACAGAGCGAAGGTCCATCTCAAGATAATTTAAAAAATAAATAAAAATAAAACACCCTCTGGGTACTCTGCATCAAATCACCCAGCTTATTTTCTTCATAGTGCTCATTCTTTCTCAAAGTGTCTACTAATTTGTTGTTTATGAGGTATCTCCTGTCCCCCAAAGCAGCCCATGAGCTCTCGTTGATAGGGTGTTCTTAGGGCTGCACACAACATGTGGTACAGAGCAGGGCTCATCCCAGAGGGGCTTGCTTCATTCATCCTGGCAATTTGGTCATGCGGGTCACAGCTCAACAAGGTGGAAGCCCCGAGATTTGGTGCCTCAATGAAAAGGCTCCTCCTCATCAACCAGAGCCAAGGCTGGAGGCCAAGGTTGTTCTCTGTCTGTGGTTGCAGCCAGAGGTTCTGAATGCACCCTGTTGGCCACCCATTCATCATGAGGGGAAGGTGTCGTCTCATCTCTGGGGCAGAAGGCCCCTTTTATTTACCCGCACATGTGACTCCAGCCCTGCTCTCTGCCTTGAGGCCCCAGGGCTACTGCTGCAGGTTGACTTGCCAGTTGGGGGGCCTGGGCTCAGGTGCCTTATCCCAGCAACCCAAGAGCAGCAGCCAAGAAGAGGAAGAACACTGCACTTTGGCGAGCACCCTCTTGTGCCAAGCACCACATAGGGCATGTTCACAGGCATTCTCTCATTTTGTCCTCACAGGAGAGAAAACCAAGATCTGAGATGTTTTAGCAATGTGCTCTCAATGGTTCCCTGGCTAGGAAGTGTTGCTGCTGGCAAGATCAGCCCTGACAGTTCTGTGCAGCTCCTAAACCGCAGCCTGGACAGCCTGGAGCCTGGTGCCTTCTGCAGTCCTGCCTCTTCCAAAGGCCAAATCAGGCTCTAGAAGTCAGCACTGCAAACCCTGGCAGAGCCCTCCACAGGCCAATCCCAGTTCTAGAAACTCTAAGAACAGTGATGCTGAGGCAGTGAGGTGAGAAGCCATCCCCCTAGCTGGGAACCATTAACCCACCCAGATGCTTTTTAAGAAGCAAGGCAGGCCGGGCGCGGTGGCTCACGCCTAGAATCCCAGCACTTTGGGAGGCCGAGGCGGGTGGATCACGAGGTCAGGAGATAGAGACCATCCTGGCTAACACGGTGAAATCCTGTGTCTACTAAAAATATAAAAAATTAGCTGGGCGTGGTGGCACACACCTGTAGTCCCAGCTACTTGGGAGGCTGAGCAGGAGAATCACTCAAACCCGGGAGACAGAGGTTGCAGTGAGCTGAGATCATGCCACTGCACTCCAGCCTGGGCAACAGAGCAAGACTCTGTCTAAAAAAAAAAAAAAAAAAAGAAGCAAGGCAGCTTTGTCTATTTGTCTATGTTTGGGCAGAGAAAGCCAGAGAGAAAACAATTTCAGTCCCTGAACCCAGTCTAAAGACCTCTTTAGAAAGGTCATTCTTGGGAGGGAGAGGCTTATTCCCATCAAAGTGGGAGTTCCCAAGAGCAGGCCATTTCTACTCATTCGGAGAGGAACTCTGGAAGGGGATTACTCCCCAGAGGGGAAGCTCAGCCTCTGGCCCAGGGTGGCAGCCACAAATTCAGTTCTTGCTGTGGGTGCCCAGCCCACACCCAAGGTCCCATCGCTCTCATTCACCTGGGCACTGCAGCATGCCCTGAGGTGAGACTTATTCCTGGGAAAGGGGATTTAGGAGGTAAGGCTTCTTATCCTGGGACTTTGGGGTGACTCTCCCTGGGGTTCTGAATCAGGCTGAACAAAGGCACATGCCAAACCTCCTGCACTCACCACCAGAACTTTCCTTTCCCCAGCCCCCATCATCCAGGCTGTGGCACAGGCATCTCACCTAAAATAGAATTTCTCCAAGAAAAGGCTGAAACGCCCCTCAGTGACTCATCGCCCAGATGGGTGCAGCTATTTCTATCCAGCCTCTTCCAGACAGTGAGGAACCTTGACCGCACCCTCCCCACAACCCCTCCCAGGCTCCGGCCCAGCATGCAAGGCCTCCTAAGGAGGACACTGGCTGAGGGAGCTTTCTGAGGCCAGCAAGACTTCCCCCTCTCTGCCTCCCCAGGAGTTTCCTGGGAGGAGCCCAACCTAAGCCTCTTCCTCCCTACTGCAAGGCCCTATCCCCACCCACCCAGCCTGGGTATACATGAATAGTTCTGTGGCAGACTCCCCTGGCCTCAGTGCCAGTACAATTAGAGCCTTCCTTAGCTGCACACAGTGATGCCTCCTCATCAGGAGGTTGAACCCAGAAGGCTCCCTGTGGCTCCTAGGCCCTCTCAAGCTGGCTCTCCACTAGAATCAGAGGGACTATACTTTTACCAGTGTGACAAGATGCCTCAGCTAGGGTTCTGCTATCTAATACCTCCAAGATCCTGATCTGGCACATGGGCAGGAGATGTGCAGGCTACCAGCCATGAGCCTCATGTCTCAGGAGCCTTCCTGGGGCTACCCTAAGGTGGACAGCTCTGCCAGACATTAGCTTTGATCGAGCTGACTCTTCTTGCTAGCAAGAAGCCCATCTTGCCATCTCCAAGAACTGGTAGGGACCTCCATGGAAGCCCGTGCACCCTGGCCCAGTGGGGGCCTAGGTGGCAGTAAGGATGGGAAGGCTCAGTGCAGTACAAGGTCAAGAGGTGGTTTAAGAGGTGGGGGAAGCAGAAGCTACAGGAAGCCTTCCTACAGGCTTTTCAGGGAGCCACTGCCACCTGCTCTGCCATGAGTCTGCTAGGGAATTGGAAAGGTAGGACCCTGTGGGCTCTGTAGCTCTGAGAGGACTTTCTCCCTGAGAAGAGTCTTTCTTAGCTGCTTCCTTACTCAAACTATTCAGTGTGCAGAAGGGCAGCTAAGGTGGTACTGGCCAAGGATCCAGAGGCTTGGGGCCCAAGCTGGAGGCTATATGAACTCTAAGTTGAATGAGCAGCTATGATCTGTCTGCAATGGTCACTCCCTGCTAATTCCTCCACTGGGCTCTGGAGCAAGGAGGGCAGTTCTGGGAAGAGCTTCTACATCTTCCCTGCAGGAACACTGGCTACACAGAGTGTCTCAGCCCTCAAGAGTGGGACTCAGACTTGCTTGCCATATCTGGCCCCAAAGGATGCTCACAGGGTGGAGTCTACCTCACGGTCACCTCCATGGCTGTCAGGAAGCTCTGAGAGCCCCCCGAAGTCACAAGTTCTCTTCCCACTCCCCTCCTCTCACCTCCCCCAGCAGCAAGGAAAAGGAGGGTTACAGACGTCACTCAGCCTTCTTCCTGTGGAGAGACCCAGCCCTAC